AAGTCTCTATACATCTTGATCTTTAAAAATATGCAAGTGATTGCTGGGAGATCTAAGAGTTTGGATCTTTAAAAATTCAGCCAGTGACTGCTGGGAGATCCACCTAGAACCCTGGCCGAATGCAAACAACATGTGAACAAATGTCTCTATACATTGTCTCTATACATCTTGATCTTTAAAAATATGACAGTGCTCACTGGGAGATCAAGATAGAAGAGTTTGGATCTTTAAAAATTAGCCAGCGTCTGCTGGCAGATCCAAATCAGAAACGAACACCCCAGGGCAAAGACAGGTATTAACAATCTAGTGCAGTGGTAATCAACCTGGTCCCTACCGCCCACTAGTGGGCATTCAAGCTTTCATGGTGGGCGGTAGGGGTTTGCTGTAACTGTGCTTTATAAATTTTATAAAGTAAAGTTACTTCCCTACTTTATAAATCACCATTANTTCTCCCAATCACAGCTGGATCTTGGTTCCTCTGTGTGTTTTACCAAGAGAGCCTGGAAAGTATTAGGGTCAGGCCAGAGCACAGGACCTTCTGCTAGGGAAAGGAGTGTGTGTGTGTGTGTGAAAATGGATGGAAAAGTGAATGAATTTTTGTTGTTGTTGTTGCTTTTGTCCTGTGAAAGCAAAAAAGCAAAGGCCCATTGTGCGTAAAGAGAGGAGGTGCTGGTACTAACTGCAGAGGGGCAGAGGTCCTCCCTGGATCACCTTTTTGAATCCAGAAAACCTTAGCGGAATTCCCTACGAGGAAAGGGGCCGAATATTTCGTTGAGGGAATCAAAGTCCTTCCCGGAATTTTTTTTCCCAAAAACTTATGGCGGGTCACACGGCTAGGCCAAAGTGAGCTCTACATGTAAAGGGTCATGGGACACGTTAGCTCGTGGGTGACAGGAATTTCCCGTGGAGATTGCCTTGAAGCCTGGGACGCCAGGCACATGCCTATCTTGGTTGGCATTGAGAGCAAAGAAACTGTGTTGCAAATGGGCTTTGCTGACAGATGATACAGGAAAACTAATTGGCTACATAAAGGTACTTAAAAGAAAAGGGAAAATGTTGGGGTTTCTTTTTTTCTCGTCTGTTTGTCTTTTTCTCTGTCTTCTATGCAACCACGTGGTTAGTTTGTTAAGATTTGTGCCTTCCCTAATTTAACAGATTTGTGCTGGGAATGACTAGGGTGTGTAAACCTGAGAGTTCTCCCCCCCCCTCTTATTTTCTCTTTGTCCTTGTGTATATGTGTGTCTAAGTCCTTAAGGTAATTGTAAAGGTAATTGTAAAGGTAATTGAGGTAATTGTAACTATAAAATGTCTCCAATCCAAAAAGACAAGAATTTTAAATTGTTCAAAAAAAGAAAAGAGTAAACTGGCAGAAATTGCCTTCGTTCAGTTTGTTGGGCCCAGAAAACTGAGTGAAGGGGGAGGGGAGTCTTTACTTTGTGTTTGTTTGGCCAACAAAAACAGAGTAAAGAGAAGTATTCTTTCTTCCTTCCTTCCCTATAGCTTAAAGTAACAACCCAGGAAATGTTTTAAGTTCATTTGCAAGAAAAGTCTCATCCTTGCATTTATTATGTGTTTAAATGATTTTACCTGTTCATCTTTTTCCTGAAACATTTGAATCCAGACCCCATTTCTCATCTGTGATATCCCCATAATGTTACCAGTTTATCTGTTTAGTAACTGATGGTTTTTTTTCAAACACTGCCTGCAAGCTATCTACCCCCCATGACCCCCACACCTCTAATCCTCCAACAATGCCTTTTCTGTGGGGGAGGGGAACTTGTTCTCATGTCTTTCAGTCCTGCACAGATGAACAGAGCACATGGATCCAGATACCTCCAGAGATGACCTTCCATAAGCCTCCATTCAAGTCTCATTATTGGCTCATTGTGACTTGGATGTG